TCATCACCCAAATGCAAATTTTTGCTCCAGGACTGGTCTTCAGCGGTACCGCGGCTAACAATAGAGAGTGAAGTGGTTGAGTGTGTCGACCACTTCACTTACCTGGGAAGTAGGACCAAACCTGGGGTTAGTTGTCGATGAGATCTCTGCACGGATACAAAAGGCTCGATTGGCTTTGGCAATTTACGCCACTGTGGTGCCGCCGTGATATCCGTTTGTCTATTAAGGGTCGCGTGTACTACACAGCAGTCCAGTCTATTCTACTGTATGGCTGTAAAACATGGCCATTGAAAGTGGAAGATATAAGAAGGCTTCAGGTGTTTGACCACCATTGCCTTCGTAGTATAGGACGTATTCCGTGGTGTCACCATGTGGGTAATGCAGAAGTTAGGTGTAGAGTTTTAGGGAGCAGAGGTAAACCGGTAGACGAGGTTATAAACCTTCATCGTTTGAGATGGTTAGGACACGTACTACGTATGCCCAGTCACCGATTGCCTCGTCACAAAATGTTGGTCGAAGTAGGCCCAGGCTGGAAAAAGGCCCGAGACGGCCAGACTAAAACATGGCACCAATATATGAAGTCTCTGACTGTTGGTTTAAGCCATGTAGGACGATGCAGACTAGGTGGTTGGGGTCCGTGGGACAAGAGGAACTAGTGGTTGGAGACTCTAGGTGATATAGCTCATAACCGATGTCAGTGGGGCAGACGTATATACACATTATCCTCATCTTAACGACGCTATAGCGAGTCTCACCATTTTGTCATTCCTCTTTTCTTTCTTCTTGTACTTAATATTTCTTTTGGCTGCATTCTCTTATCCTCATCCTTCACCTCACTACCTTTCTACTTGATGTACTGATATGAGTTGTGGCAACTCGGAGCGTGACGCAGTAATGCCTGGTCCTATGTTGATATTGATTGATTGATTGAACCACTTCACTTAAGTGAGAAGTTGGCTCAGCCATGATGAGACAGCGACACACGAAATGTTTGTGAAACATCATCTATTGAACTGGCTTGGACATGTGCTGCGGATGCCAATGTGCTGCCTACCTCGACGTACCATCCTAGCAGAAGTAGGGTTAGGTCGGAAGAAGGCTCAGGGCAGCCAGACCAAACCCTTGTGCTAGTCGATGAAGTGTCTCACTGCTGGTCTGAGCCATGTGTGGAGGTGTAGAGTGTCTAGTTGAGGTCCACAAGATGACAGGAATCATTGGTTGGACTCTTGGCGAAATGGTTGAAAACAAGTCGCAATGGCGTAGAAGTATTTATTCTTTGACGTCTTTTAAAGCTTGAATATCTCCACTAACCTTCATTTTAAAAGTCCTTCTCCTCCCATACATCTTTGTCTACTTTGATATCAGTCTTCCTTACCCACTTGTTCTTTGAATGTTCCTGTGAAGCGTTGCAGCCTGAACCGATGCACTTGTATGGGAGGTTTTACGTTAATTTTGTCTTTCTGACCGTTGCCTTCGTAAGACAGGCTGTGTGGAAGTATAAATCAGGTGCAGACTTTTGACTGATAAAATCCACGTAGAACCTTGCACACAGGTACATCGACTCTAGTTGACACATTTCACAATAGTACATGAAGAACAGGTAGATAGAAAGAGTGTTATCAAAAAAGATAACGTAGTGTGACAGAATAAACAATCTGAAGATAACGAATAGTGCAAATATTTAAGATTAGAAGGTATCAAGGAGTGAATACATCTGCGCCAATGTGACCGATTTTCAGCCGCGTCACCAACAATTTTCAACCACTGACTCCTTTCGTCTGGTGGGGGAGTCAGTTGCTGAGGTTAGCCTACAGCGACAGACGGCTGGGACATGTTACGCCTGCCAAGCAACCGTCTACCTTCTCACACCAAGCTGCCTGAAGACTAAAACAGGACAAGCCGTTGGTCTGAGGAGAATAAAGAAATGTTGACTCTAGGTCGCAGTTTGTGTGACCACGGAAGCCAGTGGTCGTAGTCTTTAGGTGAAGTGTCTGAGAATCAACCTCAGTGGTGAAGATGTATGCACACATTATCCTCATTTCAATCGCCATAGTGAATTCAGTGTTTTCTTATCACTCCCTTCACGTTTCTACTACTGTCAACACTTTAACTGGTCCATTCTTGATTTCCCTACCTTTCATTTTACTGCCTTCTCCCTTGGTGTGGTGAAATTAAATCAAGCAAGTTGAACCATTACACAATAATGCAAGGTCCTGCGTTGATCTTCTTTGTTAGAAGCCCCAAAGTTTTCTGTCTATCGTTCCAGACGTATTCCTTTAAGTGAATCGAAGACCACACCATTGATTTCATGTAGGAGCTTTCAATGTCCGAACTTTATGTCAAATCGGACAGCAAGCGTCGATCGCCAGAACTCTAGAATCTTCAGCCATAGATGTATACTGTGTCCGAGACACGTACAAACGACCCAAGTGTCGTCATCAAATTGACCTCACTGAGTTTTGGCAACTCGGAGCTTTACGCCGTGATGCCTTGTCCTATGTTGATATTGATTGAGCTCATCAAGTACTTCTGTCCCTCGTTTCAGGTTACTTACGATATTCTCGGATTCTACGAAATTTAGAGGCCAGTTGAACTACTATTTGAAGTATTTCGCTCATCGTTCTAGTCATTTTCGAGGGAGTGAGTGGCAAACTCATCATTCTTCACGGTAGTCACACTAATTATGCAAACGTCTTCACAGCAAATTTAATCGATAAGTCTATATAGCTGCCAATATTATCTATTTATGTATCTTCAGTCTTAAATGTCAACTTACAGTCACAGTCATTTCGTAGACTTTCCGGTTTCCTTCCGAGTTTCTTTCTCCCAGGAATTGCTGGAGGGTCGCAGGGATGCCTTCGCGTGCATCTACCAATTTGGAAGGAACTGCTGACATCCATTGGGTCTTTTAGCCTTCCTAAACACTTTTTTATGATGGATCAGAGATGGCACCAGGTGTCCTAAAGGCCGGTGACATTGTCCCGTTGGGATTACTGTCTACGCAGTTCTTCATTAAAAACATCCATGCTATCCCCATTTTTGTAGGTCTTTTAGTGTCTATAAGGACGCAGACGTAAGTGTACTCGAGCTATCGACTGGTGACCGTCCGAATGAGTGCTTCAGAAGTAGCAGCAGTTTGTGAGCGACCCTCTTCAGCTATACCTTATGGCAATATTGTCTTTCTGCGGCTAACGGTGAGTTAAGGTCGTTCGACACCACATCAGACACTGTTCCTCTTTGTGTCCGAATTTCGCACTTGCTAGCATCAGGTGTTTATTTGTACACAGCTAAAGCGAGTGGTCACCATTCAACCGCCTTTCTGTCTACACGTACAATGAAGTCGTCGACTACGACAATGACACCTGAACTCCAGACTTGCAACAAGAGACTAAAACGTTTTCTGTAGAATGTACCTTTCATTCTACCTGAACTGCAATTTATGGGTGTGTAAGTGGAGATAATGGAGAAAATGGGAAATTTCAGTGTTCTCTGAAGTACTAGCTTCATCGTCCAGTTGTACAGTGGATAGGTGGCTGTAAATCAGGATTCAGTTAAGCAGTGCACTTTCTGTTGAAGAACGCTATTCGTACACCTGCAAGGGTGCGAGATTCAGCCAAGGAGTTTCAAGATACTCAAAGAGTGAATTTCGCAAAGTTACTAAGTTGACTGAGCAGAGTTAAGTGATCAACTCAAAATGAATCTTGTATTGTTTTCTCACAACATACCTTTATGACCATAGATGTCTGAATCTTGACTAGTGAGGTTTATACGATGTGATGAAGTATGTGAACATTAGAAAACTGTTGTATGCAGTTTAGAGCGTGACCTCAAGATACCATGGATGCTATTCTGAGAAGTTGAATCGTCATCAAGAACTTCAGAGCTAGAAGAAATGAAAGATGAAGTAGGATTGTTAAAAGAAAGTTGTGAAGTAAGAATAGACTACAAGGCTAATAGTGTTTTAGAATGGAACTGGGGTACTTACAAAGGCGGGAGAGCGGTTATTTCTCGGCTGCCCATGCCGTCGAAGGTTATTCCTTCTTGAGGTGACCAAAAACGAAGTGGAATTAGTAATAGTGCTGCATAACTGCAGGGTCCAAACGTCATTTGATCTTGACGGGTCACATACGGCTTTGTTTGGAGTTTGGAAATTAGGTTTGACTGCAGTATATCTGAACTACGTAATCTCACACCAGCATCATGAGAAAACCACAAGGAAGGGGTTATTGTATTTTTTGGGGTTCCACCTTTTTGAGCCCATCCTTTCGATGAGGAGGATAGCATCAGTATAGAATACTGGTTATCCTCGAGAAACGCCTTACTGTTGTCACTTCATACGCCCAAGAGCGCCACATTGTCCTTTGAGCCCCACCATAGTCTGGTTGTGTTTAACGTGACTGTAATTATTTTTTTAAAGAAAAAATGACAATATAGCAGACATCTAGGCTATGGAAGGACCCCAGTACTATGTGACTCGTTGACCTAAGCACTCGGTTTTCAATCAGCGGGGTGATGAGTTCAAGTTCCATACCACTTATTTCGGTCTGGGCAACTGGGTAGTATCGTAGGCCTTCACACAATTACTGCTTAATCACAGCTTAATTCGTAGATATGTACCGGGTTGAGATGTTGTAGGACCTCAAGGAACAATCTTTTTAGTCAGCATAGCTCGTTTGATCATTATGATATGTGAACCCAATCACCACTTCGAGATAGATATGTACCACCTAGCGCATTAAATTCAGTCATCAAAGTTGTACTCCTGTCATTTTTGAACTGGTTTCAGACGTCCTAGCTTCGGAATGCCTTTTTTATTTTTTAGGCATACACCACCAATTAAAATTTTGATAATTCCAAATACCCGGAATTTACTCAATGTTTTGGTTTGTTGAATAAATATTTTCAGAGAAATCGTTGTTCTAATAAACAACTCCATCTTATTTCATGAGATTATTGCGTTGTAATTTGAACAATTGGTTATTAACTTTTATTTTGTGTAGGATTCTATAGTACGTGGGTTTCTGCTTACAAACCTTGACGAGAGAAACGGAAAATTGTTATGGAGAGTTAACCTTGATGCAGTAAGGAAATTTTGGCAACAAATTTCAAACTTTCCTAATGAAAAAGTGAATGGCCATGTTTTTGATCGTCCAGCATTGTTCATTGCATCGAGCAAAGGAGGGTATTTAGAGTAAGTACTAAGGCATTTTTATAACTGGAAGTATTAAATCAATTTGAATTTTCTCGAATATGTAGATGTTGTTGCCATCATTTTAAGAACATTTGAGAGCCAGGAGATGCTAAAATGCTTTGTTTTCAGTGTTTTACGGAGCTACTTTAGCTGTACGTAGTTGTTATACTATTTTACGAAGAACTAAATCCCCTATTTTTTCCAGTTTGACATTTCCATACTTTGAACAAATAAGAGACCGTTGGCCAATGAACCATCAGGTAACCAAATACGTCCAACGCAAATACTACAATAAACAGCCATGCATTGTCAAATGAATTTGATTTTTCACCAATAATTCTGGATAAAGCAAAGAGGACGAAATTCGCAGAATAATATGATAGCGTTTTATTTCATGAATACATACATACAGTCTAAAAGTGTAATGGTTATTAGGATACAAGGTATTTCAAAACTAGGAAATCAAATGTGAAGTCAAATCCTTAGTTGTATAACAAAGTTATTGATAATCCATATGATGTTTAAGACAGTTAAATTTACAGAGGTGAGAAATGTAAGAAAGGGAAAATAATAACTAGTAAATAAATAAATAGGGTTATGTAATGAAAACGAAACAGGGTCAAATCAAATTTAGAGAGGAGTTAGCTAAGCATTTATGTGAACATGACAGGACTGCTCATTCTCAGAAAACCTGATGTCATATTAAGTGTGTTGTAGAAAACAGGAGTAGAGACAGTTGGTAACCAACACCCGAAGATTATCAAACGTCATTCGATTTCCGCGACGTCATCCGAACTGATTGGTGAGAGAGGACTGAATCCAGCTGACTCTGACCACTATGAAGAGCGAAAGCGACTTAAACCTATGTTGACCAAGAGTTTTAACATTGATCGCGGGCAGCGGTGGGCATCAGGGGTGGTTAACACACCAACTAATTAGACGTATTAAGAATACTGGCAAGAAGAAGACGATGGTTAGTTAAACCATCACCGAACGCTGATAACCTGCCAAGAAAGGCGGCTAAAGCGTTGGGCACAACACTGAAGCACAGTTTAACTGGCCCTCAACAACGCTTGGGTTGTTCATCATCCAGCTTGAACATGGATGAGTCGAAAATGTTGGTCCCCCAACTCTCCTCGAAGTTGAGAAAGCTGTGTCGAACCTGAAAGGATTTAAGGCAGCTGGACCTGACAGTTTGCCACCTGACGTTTTCAAGGATGGAGGTAAGAAATTGCTGATTAGATTGACGGAGGTACTAGATAGTGTATGGGAATCAGAGGTGGTACCGTCAAACTGGTGTACTTCAATGATCATCCCAGTCTATATATAAGAAGGGGAGAAATCTTCTTGTGACAACCATAAGGGAATTAGTTTGACTAATATTGTGTGTAAGATTCGTAGTTATCCAAGGCCAACACTTTTCACATTTGGGGGATTTTTGTGGGGATTTATTGATTTCATGTTATCATTCATCATGGACTGACAATCAGTTGGAGGATGAGACAACTGTCCAGTGCTTCCAGATTTTCAATGTTCCTCCAACTGATATCAGTCCATGATGAATAACAGCTTTCTATATTTGTTGTCCTGAAGGCACCATTTAACTCTATCGTCTGTAGGGTGTTGTGGGAGTGTCTCACTGTGAAGGGAGTACCAAGCAAGTATAAAATGCTTATCAAAGTTCTCTACTCGAACTCACGTAGCCGTATAAGACCTTACAAAGGGTTGTCATTTGAATTGATGACAACTAATGGTGTCCGCCATGAATGCCCAGTCACCGTCCCTTTTTAACTTCGTCATAGATGTATTAATGGACATAACCTTAGGTACGTCTGATTTCATGGGGATTGATCTACTTCCCGGTGGTCGTCTAGTTGACTTGGAGTAAGGAGATGGTATTGTCCTGCTGGGTGGTGGAATGTGCCGACCACTTCGCCTATTTTGGGAGCTGCGTCAGCCCGAACGTGCTGGTTGCTGAAGAAATGTCATCTCGAACATAGAAGGTCCGTTTGGCATTTGCCAACTTGCATCATCTATGGGGAAGACTTGCGAGATATCTGACCGTCTATCAAAGAATGTGTATACTGCGCTGCGGTCCGTTCTGTCCTGTCATACGACTATGAGACGTTGCCACTGAAAGTAAAGACACGAAGCAGTTACGGGGTTTTGATCACAAATGTCTTCGTAGCATTGTTTGCTTTTAGTAGGATCACCGTTTGGGCGACGTTCAGGTCAGGTGAAGGTTTCTAGGTAAGACAGGCAAGTCGATTGATAAGGTTCTTAACCTTAGTTGACAGAGATGGCTTGGGCGTGTACTGCGCATGCTGAGTCACAGCCTATCTCGATGTACCATACTAGATAGGGGGAAGCTGGATTAGGTTGGAAGAGGGTTCAGAGTGGCCAGATCAAGACCTGGCACCAGTCGACGAAGTCCGTGACTGCTGGTATTAGCCTTGTGGGGCGATATAGACTACCTGGTTGTGGTCCCGGTACGTAAAGAATGAATGGTTGAAGACTCAGTGAGATGACTGGAAATCGGTCACAATCGCGCAGATGTTTTCACTCCTTGACATCTAAAGCTTCAATATCCGCACTAACCTTTATCTTCAAAGTGTCTATCCTGTTACACTTTATCTTCTTTGAGATCAGCTTTTTTTTCTGCCCACCTGTTCTTTATGTACTACTGTGAAGTGTGGCAACTTGAGCCAATACACTTATGTGCGATGTTCTACGTTGATGTTATTAGTGTCTAAAACATAATCTTGAGAATATACTCAACGAAGTGAATGGACGTGCTCCTCTCAGTGCTTCTAGTGTACTTGCTGCCGGAAGTGCATGTAAACTCATACGTACAGTTGTGGTGACTGGTTCATCCAGCCTGTAGTATTGTCGACTAATACAAATTTAGCTGCGGGGTAGCTCCTTCTCAGTACTCCTTTGATCCTTGCGTCTATTTTCTCGGATATTGCATCCTTCTTGAATGTGAGGTGAATAAAAACCTTAGTCTTTTTTACAGTTTAGTGTCTATTTTTCTCTATTTGTTCTTTTCCCTACTTCATAATAAATCTCTTGGGATATCCATTCTCTTGGAAACACTTCTCCATAAAGTTGTTTTTCTTCTAACTTGTCCTGAGAACACGATTTCCAAGCTCTTTTGTAGTGTTTTGGTTAGCCCCCACTTTTGGGTGACAGGATAGGAACTATTGTAGTCGGGATATTGTCTGGCCCATGTGTCTTTTCTATGGATAATCATTTTAATCTTATTATCAATTCTTCTCACGTTAAAGTCGAAAACGGAACTCGTTTTCAAGCTCATGTTCTATAGTAAATTTAATGTTAGGATGAGTCTCGTTGAGCTAGTCAAACAACTCACTTGCATGTTTCATATCGTAACAAACAAGAAAGGCATCGTCAATGTACCTGCAGTAACAGGTTGTTCCTCTGATGACTGAATTCAGACGCTTCTGTACGATAACTCATGAAGATATCTTCTAGTACAGGTTTTAGAGGTGAACCCATGGCCACTATCAATTCGTTTATGATACTGGTTATTGAATTGGAACTGGATACCTTTTGTGAAAAGGAGTAGTAGCCGTTTCGTCTCGATTTTATGGCCACGGCAACAAATCAGTTTGTTGACAGATTATGTCGATCGTTTCACTCACTGGTGTATTTGTAAATAAGGAAGTTACACCGTATGACACCGTAAGCTTATCTTAAACGTCGACATGATCTGTTATGTGAAAAAATTCAATGTCTTTTAGACCATAAATGGTCGACTTACTTTGGATGGACTAAAGATTTTGCCAATCATTTCGCAAGCTTATGATATGGCGAATTAATCATTGAGGTTATAGACTTCAAAGGTCATCATCATCAAAATCAATATAGGACCAGGTATTACTGCGTAACGGTCCAAGTTGTCACACTTCATATCACTACACCAAGTAACGGCAGTAAAACGGAAGATGAAGAAAGGAAGAAAAATCGGCCCAACGAAGTAAAAGTGGAAAGTAGTAAAAGAGAGGAGGGAAGAATAAGATGATGAGATTAAGTATAGTGGTTAAGGTGAGGATAATATGTGTATGCATATGCACCGCTGACATCGGTTGTGAGCCATATCACCTAGAGTTTCCAACCACTGGTTTCTTTTGTCCCGCAAACCCCAACCGGCTATTCTGCATCACCCTACATAGCTCAAACGAACAGACAAGGACATCATGCTGTGTTTAGTTTGGTCTCCTCGGGCTTTTTTCCAGCTTGAACCTACTTTTGCCAACATTTTGTGATGAAGCAGGCAGTGACTGGGGATACCTAACACATGCCCCAGCCGTCTCAGTCAGTGAAGGTTCACAACCGCTTCAACTGGCTTACCTTTCCTCACTAAAACTCTACGGCTGATTTCTGCGTTATTCACATGGTGACATAATGGTATACGGCCTATACTACAAAGGCGACGGTGGTCAAACACCTGAAGCTTCAAAGGTACACTTGATTTATAAATTTCGGGCGAACTATAAATGAATGGAAAACGTGAATTTCTTGTTGTGAGTTCATTATGTATTGCGTTGTCAACTAACTTCTTCTTTGGATGATCTCGACGTTGATTTAATTTGTTTTCAAATGTTAATACAGCGTCCTTTTTAGTACCACTCAACTAGAATCTTATCTGATCACTGGGAATTGTTAACATTTTATTCACATAATCAGTTTTTTTTGTTAGGTCAATGCCAACTCCTTTATCAAGTCTGAACAAATCTATATCTGCGTTTACGTGTAGTTTTCGCAACACCAGTTTGTGCTATTTGGTAAAGATTTTTAACTTTTTAGTTGGTGACACATAGTACTGGTTAACTATGTCAACCAACTTAGATTTCAGCTAACCTCCCTTATCCTTATCAACAGTCTTCAAATCTGAAAGTTTATGATTTAGGTTTTCAAGTTGGTTCTCTGTGACTAATTCCACTAACTCGCTTCACTAGAATGTGAAACTTAAATCCAAGTGATGGAGCTTCAATGTCAACTTTACTTAGAGTAATTTTCGATAAATTCTATGTATACTTCTCAGGGTTTTCAAGGGAGTCCTCATTGAAAATGTCTGGATTACTGGGTTTTGAGAAAGCGATTGCAATAAAACGCTTTGAACCCGACCTCTGAATATAGAAGAAGGGGGGGGGGAGTATCATTCCACTGCCTTGGTGACTATGACTTGATCCTTTTTCATTTTCATTGTAATTACGTAAGTCTACTTATTTGATAATAATAATAATTGTTATTTTCCCTTTCTTACACTTCTTACCTCTGTACAATTAATCCTCTTACACTTTATATGGATTACTAATGATTTTGTTGTACAACTTAAGATTATTGATTTCCTGATTTTGACAAATGTCCTAGTAACATTAGTCTAATAACTATTGTACTTTCAGACTGTATGCAGCTAGAGTATTCGTGAACTAAAGTGCTATCATTTAATTCTGCAAATTTCGTCCCTCTTGCTTTGTCCAAATTTATCAAAGGATGTAAACGCAATAAATAGTTCTCTTATGCTCCTTTAGTGAAATTATAGCCCAACTTACAGCTACCGTCTTGATATTACTATTACCTTTTTCGTTTTTATTGATTCATTTACATTTTACTGACTGGAACGTCTATTTTGTGAGGCTTTATCGCACCAGAAAGGTTAGTAGTGGTGTGATAGGTAGTAAAGCTGAGATTCTTTTATGTTGTGTAAATAACTGGAATGTAGTAGGGACTTGAGAGTTGAGTAACTTCCTCTTTTACTTTAAACAGCTATGTAAAGAAGGTGATTTGGTCGATTAGATTATCAAATTTCTTGTTAACTGTTGGAATTCATTGAGGAGGAAGCCGTGAATCTGGGTTTTGTCCTTATGGGCACCCGTTAGCAAGGCGTGTCTGCAATCAAGGTGAAACTGATGTTTCTCGCCAGTGATCTGAAACTACATCATTCAATGCTGTTGTCAACGTTTATGAAATCGGGTGTCTGAGAGGTATATCGCTCATTCTCTGCTCGTAATCAAGCTGAGTGGTAGGGCCGAAACGTGGTACTACTCAATGAAGTCATTGCTTGTTGTATGAATGTCCTAAGGCATCGCAGTCCACCTGTCTAGGATCTTTGGGATGATTACAATCGATAACCTGAGATATCTGTGAAGCGTATCAAAATTGATCACACTGATGCAAATGTACTTTTTTTTATTCTCGAGTGTTGAACTTTCTTAACACTGCTGGTTTTCTGCTTTTCCTCTTATGTCCTTTCATTCTTTAGTATCGCTCTAAATCGTCTCCTCTGGCGTACTGTCACCTGACCGATGGCTGATACCTAGATGTGGTGGTCAGATTTACTTATCACAACAACCTAACGAGCTTTGCTGAGGGACTCCTGCTTTTTGAATATCCTACTATACTTGAAATGTCAGTTGTATGATGGCAAGACCAAAAGCAGTTGCCGTTGTGGTGTAAATTACGTAAGTAAGTAGGTAATCTGAAACAACGTATGGCATCAATATCCAACTGACTTGTATCAAAAGTATCTAACGGCGATGGCCGAGGACTACTAGTCAGTTTGGTTGAAATGTTAGCTGCCGTTTGGGAGTCAGATACTATCATCTCAGACTGGTCTCTATCACTGGTTGTCTCAGTCTTCAAGAAACGCGAGAAATCCTCTTGTAACGCGATAACTACGGGGGAATCAGTCTGATGAAGATACTGTCTTAGATTATATTTTCTACTACTATCAGACGTCTAAGTGGAGCTCAGCGACAGCAAACCCAAGAAAGTTATGTGGTTTTCAGACCCGGACAGAGTTGTATCGACCAGGTATGCACTCTCCACCGGGTTCTGTAACACAGACACACTTACGGACGTCCGATACTGGCTGTATTTCTAGACCTGAAGGTGGCATTCGATTTTGTTGATCTAGAGTTCTTATGGCAGTGTCTCTCACTGAAAGGGATGCCGAACAAACACATCACTCTGTTTACGTCTCTGTACTCGAACACCCATGGGCATGTTCGAGCCTATGGTAAGTTTTCAGGTGAGTTATGCACATCAAATGGTGTCCATCAGTGACGTCCATTCTCTTCATTCTTGTTCAACTTTACCATCAACATTCTTGTGAAAGTTGCCGCCTGGTCGTCTCGTCCTATAGGGATTGATTTAATTACAGGAGAATTCTTAGTAGACCTAGAGTATGCAGGTAACATAGTCCAGAAAAGATAACAAAATGATAATGATAAGTTTTATTTGCGGTTTTACTAAATCTTGTAGTTTAATGGCCTACAAGTGAAGGTTGTTCAGTAAAGATTATAGCTTGGCACTTAATGCTACACTTACACTTTCAAGACCATGAGAACTAGTTTGAAACTCGATATATAAATGTCACCGGCTCATTATGTTAGCCAGGTGAGGTTATGTGAATAAATGCATTTGTATCCTATATACGTGTCTTAAATGTGGCATGCATCCATGGTCGATATATCAGAGTTTTGGCTGAGGGGCTTTTTAGCCAGTTTAACAGAGAGTGCTGACATTAGAAACTCAGATATGCAGTGTTGATTAAGGTATGCTATTGGGTAGAAATGTGTGCTATTTTCATGGTCGAAGTTTTCTAGCTTCTGCCCTTAGATAAAGAGGTTAGCATCAATATGGGACTTCCGGTCATCCATTGGTAACACCTTACTGCTGTCATACTTCGGTTTAGCCAACGGCACGTCTTTGCCTTTGTTCTCTTCATCATGGCGTAGTACTTTACACTATAACGGCAACTGCTTTTTGTCTAATTGCTATCCAGGTGACCTTTCTAGTATGGTAGGATCTCGAAGAAGCGAGAATTTCACCAAGATAGCTCGTTAGGTCAGCGCTATATGGAAGGCTGACTGGCACATCACGGTAGCCAATTTTGGTTGGGATCTATTTCGGCCTTAGTAACTTGAATACAATACGTAATATTTGTTTCAAGCTACTTGTTTTCTCATCTTTAATGGATTATAAGCGATATTAAATTTTATTCTAAATAATAATTGATAGTTGATATGAGATACGTTGAATTAAGGATTTTGTACTTAAGAATTATTAGGCATGTTTCAGTTGTTATGAGAATTAAAACAAATAGATCAGTTGATAACTTTGGTATGTTTCAGCGAAGATTTGTAGATATTTTGTTGTCTTACATCATATATAATGTTTCCTCATTGTTTTATCGTTATAATTTTATCTTTTAAATATCTAGTGCTTCAGATGTACCTGCTATACGTAACTACTTTCCTCAAGCTAGAATTCTTCAAATTGCTAACACAGGTCACTGGGTTCACTTTGATGCTCCAAATGCATTGATTAGTTTGATTACATCGTTTATACAAGAAGAATCAGTAAATATCAAGTCTTTTATAGATGTTACGGAACTTCAATAGAAAAAATGGGTCCTCGTTATGAGTTTTTTATTTCTAATTAAAGGAGAGAGAGATGGAAAATCGTTGTATGTTGGTAGTTCTTTTCTTTTTCATATCTTACTACGTGATCGTGGTGTATTTATTCAGATGTTGGATAAGGAAATGAAATATTCATAGTTTATAAAGTGGTTTATTCATTGGATGTTCCAATTAATGCTCATTAGTTGACCGTCAATGAAAGCTTCTTACTTATGCAGGAGCCTTGATTGTCTTTGTCAGCAAATATTGTCTTGGGCATCTGGTTATTTTTTCACAATAGTGTACGGCAGAAAGGTTTAGTCGTCTCCATTTTGTTGTAATGAGATGTAGTCATTGAAAGCATACAACATCATAGGACTGCAGTAAATAATGAAAGGTTTTTTAAAAGCATTGCATACTCGGAGTGGGACCAGAAAGCAAATGTTGTTCAGGTTCGGTGGAAAATTTTAAGGTAGTGAGTTATTCTATTTTGTGAGTCATTATCAAAAGAGTTAGTTCGGTCATTTGTTAATAACTATGTTGTTAATTAGTGGAGCTGTGACTCATTGCTTTAGGCAACTGACCTTCAACTAGCGGGTCTCTGGTTCAAACATCGCTCCGTCTACCGAGGTTCGGGCATGAAGGTAGTACCTACTACTAACCGTCACACAATAAGTACAGCCCATTACCTAAAATGTTCACAAGGTTGCTGAGGGCGTTTCGATATTACTGGTTGTTTCAGACGAATTCGCAGTGTTTGACCTATTTATGGGTTGATTCGGAAAGTGTCATGATTGCCTGGTCAATGTTGGACAGCATGTAGTGAAGTCACTGACTATATATCTAAACCACATTAGAGACTGTGGGTTTACTGCATTAGGTCGTTCTTTGAGTTTTTAAGTGCTCTCGAGTAAATGTATCACAGAGGAATATTTCTTGTTTAAACTGCATTAGTTATCTGAGAGCCTACAATGAGAGATCAAGTGTTTTCAAAGTTTTCACCTGATTTATGGTTATGTCTCTGAAGACAGGTTTATCTATTTTCAGCTTCCGATGGATTAACCACCTAATGGGAACTCTTCCAGTTGATATTTTACTGGGTAGATATACTGAGAAACTGTGAATTCTAATGGAAACCTGGAGCACAACCTTCAAAATGTTTGGCATGGGTTTGTTATCGGGCAAATGTGTGCTCTGCTGTAAAGCGTTATACTAAAGGTAGGTAGTAAGATAGTGTTATGGGTCCTTTTGTAGTTGATTCTTTCTTAGCATCACTGACATATGGCAAAATACTAAAATCGATATTGCGGAGTTTGGATATAGATTTTCGATTTGAGGAGATTGTTTGGAGACATGTATTGGAGGAATTCGGTTGCTACTTAGCTTGATGTTGACTGGAGAAGGAGGAGGAAAGCAAAAGTCTTCGGATAGTAAAATTGTAATGAATTACTTGATTCCGAAGGTATTCAGTTCTCAGTTTTGGTCAGGTGGGTTATTTTTAGGCATATTGATTAAGGTCTGTGGACTAATAAAAGCGAATCGTTGAAGACCTTAGATAACAGGGAATACTGTTGCAACAGCACGGTTATTAACCGTCTTCTTCGTTCGAAATCTTAAACATATTGATTCCATTCACAGCTATTGATACTTCTCCCTTTTCAGATCATTTATTGGATTTATGAAACTGCTATTTTCTTCATGACTGAATTGTCAACATACGGAAAGCAATAAGTGTTAAAGATAACTACATTTAGCAGTATAATGACTGGCATTCAAGGAGGCAAAAAAACCTATTATTATTTGTCCTTTGGGTTCCTAGTGGAACATAAGGCTTCAGTAGCATGTCGCCACTTCACCTTCTTCTCTGCAGTCTTTTGAACCTAGCTACACCACTGCCCAGAAGTCTTTATTTCTTCCTCACATGATCTCCTGCATGTCACCGTCGGATGCCCAACTAGTCGTTTCCCCTTTAGGTCCCACTCGACGGCCTGGCCTGTCACGTGATGTCGCTAAGTGGTCGCCTCAGTGTATACCCGATCCATCTCCACTTTATTCTGCATATTTGTTAAGTGATGGGTTCTTAGTTGGTTGGTTCGTTGCCTGGCCAGAGTTCCTTGTTGCTCATTCTTATTATTCTGGCCATCTGATCTTCAGTATCGAGGAGCGTAGGCGACAGCTGTTGATGTGGTGTATGTCTGTAGTTTGTTGGAAATGCTTTTCGTGATGCGCCAAGTCTGTGAACCATCACATGGAAGCACTGACTTGACGTTGGTGTTGGAAATCCGGATCTTTTTCTTTATGCTGAGTGCAGTGCAGTAGATGTCCACACTGATTTCAGATTGGTGAGGGCTTGTCTTACTGTCTTTCCGATCCTGGCTTTGACGTGTTCATTTGTGCCTGTGCCGCCTGTAGTTGAGATGATGCTGCCTAGGTGGTAGGTGAAAGAGACTACTTCCTTTAGGTTTCTCCCGTGGAGGGTGGTTGGTGCTTGTTGTTGATGCTGTTGTTGGTTGGGTATCTCCATCACCTGTATCTTCTCTACGTTCACTTGAAGGAAGTCCTGTCTTCGCTGCCTGGCCTCTTCTGTCAACTTGTTGGTTTCCGCCTGTAGATGTTCGAGTTTGTGCCACAAGATATGAGAGATAAATCATCATCATCATCGGCGAAATCCAAATCTAGGATCTTTCATCGGTCAAGTAGTATATGCCAACCTTCTTGCCCTGTATAGCTTGTCGCATGATCTGGTCCATTCCAGCACAATCAGGAAGATGATCGGTGATAGTCGGCAACCTTGTCTTACCCCCGTTTTCATTTCAAAGGCATCGCTGAGCTTCCCTTTGTGGGTCACTTGGCATGTAGCATCATATGGCATATAGCTGTTGAATGAGTTTGATAAAGGTTTGTGGCACTCCGTAATGTTGAAGCAGTTGCCAAATTACTTCTTGGTCGATGCTATCGAAGGCCTTTTCAAAGTCGATGAAGTTGATGTAAAGAGTTGACTGTCATTCTATGGTCTGTTCTATGATGATGCGTAGCGTAGTGTTGCAATTTGATTCGCGCATGATTTATTCTTCCTGAAACCAACCAGCCAGCCTGTTCCGGTCATAATTTTGAATCGAGAGATTTTTTTAGTCTCTCCAGTATGATACTGCATAGTATTTTACTTTGGGTAGACAGGAGCGTGATTCCGCAGCAATAAAAATCTACTAGGATATTGATATCGAGTCAGTAACTGACACATGTATGTATGGACTCTTGAACAAATGATGTAGACTTATTGCTTAATGGTCACTTTGCTCCTAAAAAACAAAAGAAAGTGGTAAAACGAAAAAGGGTTTTTGTCAATTCGATATATATATATATATATATATATATATATATATATATATATATATATTCACTGGTCTTGATATTTTCATTTTTTGTAGAAGGATATTCGTGAATTTCTGGCGTGCAATGATTGGTTGTGAATGCTTTCAAGAAATTTAGGGCTTATATAAGTAATCCAGGAGGTAATGATTCTTTCCACAACACCTGTCTCTGGAATAAAGTTGTTAGGATTCTTCTAGATTCACTAGGATTTTCACGGGTTTCCGTAAACTAATCGTTTGGCGTTGTAACGGTTTTGAACTGGCAGATATCTGGCAATTTTATTGCTTGGAAGTGGTAGTTGAGCTTTTGACTGCTTTGCTTTGTCTATCAAAATATTAAGTGGTGATATGGCTCAGGGATTTAGGGAGTTAGTTTTCAACCGGTTGGTCATGGGTCTGAGCCCTGTTTCGGGTTACATATATGTTTTGATAACGAAAACTATATCTAAGGCTTCTTGCTAATTACATCCAAAAAACTAAAAGCTATCCATCCTCATCACTTTGTTGGGTGTCATTTAGCACTGGTGTGGATTTAGTGTCATATGTATTCGACTGTGCTCCAAACTGTGAACTGATAAGCTCAGCTGTTTCTGGACTGCTCCGTGCATCTTCGTTGAAGCTTGTATGCGATTAACTCCTTTACTAGTCTATTTCCTTTTCAACGTGAAGCGATACGGTTATTTTGTTACCTTCTAGCCATGTATAACTGATGGTTAAACCTGTCGCTATGGTCTCTAATGCTGCATCGGTTGCAAATTCTTCTGTAAGTTTATCTCCTTACCTTATGGGTGGCACTTGGCCTTCTTTCTGGTCTGAGATAATCTTTCCCTTCTTCGCTTTAGCCATGTGGTTATCAATGATGGTCACTGTGTTACCGTTGTCAAACTAGGACAGATAACTTCGAGGATTATTTACGCCATTTATTTCCAGTGTTTGTTTATTGTCAAACATCTGCAATGCTCCGGCCTTTATGTGCTCATGAGGTAATCTCTCATGGTGTCATAATCGGCCTTAGTGTAGCATGTAATGGTATTCAGTGTTTCTAGTTCAGAGTTTCCCTGAGTTATCATGAAGAAGGTAATTACTGGACGATTACTGCGGCCAAGCTGCAACTGAACACGTAAGTTCTGAATGAAAAGGTCATCGTTCATCAGCACATAGTCAAGGCGTGATGTGCTACCGTTAGGCTCCCAGTGTATGAAATCACCCACTTTTTTCAGAGTAAGCGGTTTACTTAATTGCACTCTTTAGCTTATAACTGAGGCGTCCAGAAATATCAGCGCAAGTAGTGTTTATATTTGGCAGTACGCGCATAGAATCTTATAATCGCTCCTGGACCTTACCTGAGGACTGACATGTAGAATGTTTTCAGTGAAGAAGGTAAAGGTTGTCAAAATCAGCTGTTTTGTGAGCTGGATTGTTTAAGTACAGAGCTTTCGTCGGCATTCTAGACATCATCAGCACGAACTTCAGAACGAAGTGGGTGATAATGTTTTTTCTGCAATTGATTTAGTAGCTTGTCCTGATGGCCTTGTGTATGAATCATAGTTTCTGCCAAGGTCTTGTCGGTGTCTCCATGCTTTTTTTGATTGGTTGTCCTGATGACCTGAAATTTGACCTACTTGTTATTTCTCATTGGTTGATAGATTGGGTCAATGTCAACGTGTCTGTTGATTGCTGACTGATCTGAATACCAAGCTCCTTAAAGTTCTGTGGCATTCTTTGTCTTTTCTCTATCCAGGATTTTCCCAATGAAATTCATGTCCACAGTTGTTGTTTGAGTGCATTGATATGTGCGAAGATGTGTTGTTGTTTGTATTCATATAGAGGGAGGTGAAGAGGGCGACCATTCACACAAGGCCATCAGGACAAGCTACTTAATCAATCGCAGAGAAAACATTATCGCTCACTTCGTTCTGAAGTTCGTGCTGATGATGTTGTCTAGAATGCCGACGAAAGCTCCACACTTAGAAAATCCAGCTCAGAGAACATAACACCATCAAAATTATCCTCTTGAGCTAGAAGTATTCTCTATCATCGCGGTACAAATATTTTTTTACAGCGGCATCAGGTAAAAGAGTGAGATGTACACGATTAGTTCTGCTGAAAAGTTTCTGAATTATTCTCAATACAGCAGTCTTTTCTCGGCTACTTAGTAAAGAACGAAGGAAAATAGGCAAGATGCAGTAGTCTAGAAAACATCAGAAAAGAGACTGAAATATATCAGGAAGTCAGCCTCCTAATATAGTTAGTTATCCTATAGATTTTTTTGGAAATTAGCGAAGTACGAGAACACTAAGACGAAACAGAAGAAAAACACAGACAGATCATACTTGTTACATTCTTCAATAGAGAGTCATCGGTAGAGCAGGAGTAATGAGAATTAAGCCGTCCGTGTAGTTCATGTTAACATTTGCAACAGATTGATAAACTGATAGTTTGAAAACATTAAATGCAAAACTATTCACGGAGGACCATCGTCCAATAGTAGATAAATCATGTAGTTGAGAGCAATCTGATGAAGAGAGATGACGAGTATGAGAAATATCAGGTCATCAGCATACTCAGCAAAATTACTGGTCTAAGATGGCAACTGCAGAAAGAATCGAACAGTTATCGGAACAAAACGACAGCCCTCATCCGGAAGAAGCGCAGGACCACCTACATTCCGCTGAAAAATCAGCGTTAAAGACTGTCGGTGGCTCATAAGCACAGTGGATCTCAGTAGCTTCGTCTGAACAGGTGTACTTGAATGCATACCTACTGGCCCCTGCAAAAACAACTCAAATGTATGCCTACAAGAAGTCTACGCAATAATGGGAAGCGAAAGTAAAAGATGGGAAAAGCAGTGGTGTTAGATAACACTAAGCAGCTATTAAGACTTATCAAGCAAACTAGACCAAAATGCTCAATAGCATGTGGAACTATAGCTTAGAAGGATGGATTTGTGAGTCACTGGTAGGGGAGACGACTGAATCAGTGTACAGAACAGTTCAACTGACCTCCAGTTACTATTTCGCTCCCCACAATCCAGTAGGATCCTGAACAGAACATTGAGATAGAGTTTCCATTACTTGTAGAATGCAAAAATCTGCAAGTAATCTGAAACAAGGAAAAACAGAACGGTTAGGCTTACCAGAAGTATCTAACGGCGATGGCCGAGGACTACTAGTCAGTTT